TGACTCTAATAGAGAGTGCAGGAAGTATCAGAGAGGACTATTCTGGCTTTAAGAAATGGGAAGAACGACAACACAGGTTTTATACATTACAGTGCAAGGCTGATGAAATGGACGCTAGAATTTCATCTCAATATAAATCTGTTTCTGGAAACTATGAAACATGATTCAAAATAAACAGAAAAAAACAAGTTATATTTATATATAACGGAAGTGAACCGGGAACACTAAAGTAAGGAGAACGAAACTTGTTTACGGCAAGATTCATTGATCCATTGATTCATTGACAGAAGTATGTTAAATACTACTGATTCACAATGGTATCAGAATGTCCAAGAACACGGACGTCACGGTTTCAAAATATCCAGGAACAAGTGACGTCACGGTATCAAAGTGTCCAGGAACACATGACGTCACGGTATGTTTGTAAATGGCACGCACGCATTGAAGGTGACTAGAGGCAAATAGTCTTGGCCTATCTACAAAGGGTGCTTTTCCTGAAAACATCGTTGATATTAAGAAATTATACTGTATTATATGGAAAAATTCAATAAGCTTTCTAAAAAAAACGCTTAAAGTATGTCGTGATCTTCATGACCCAGAATGTATTTCTGTGTATGTTTGTGCATGAAAAATCAACACGTAATTTTAAAATATCAAATGTGTGGCGATGGTTGAACGCACTGACGACGGATCTGCGTTACATAGTTAACTGCAGAATACTTGAAAATGGGTTGCGGTGTTTGGTCTAATTTTACATGGCATGCATTAAATGTGTATAACAGATTTCAATGTTTTTGGCGCCAACACGTAAATGATCTTTTACAAATGACAGGCACAAAGAGTGTACAGAAAAGGCAATGAAAGGATGATCCCGTTTCCACAGGGGGAAACGACACTCGTTAGTATAATAGTGTAGGCAGGCTGGGGTAGCCGCTTTATTTATAAAATTCCAATCGTAATTCCTTGGAAACACGGCCCCTTAATCCGGAGTTCATTTCGTTGTTGCTTTACGTCCAATTAACAGCTAGGGTCTGTTAAGGAAGTGCCATGTTTGGATGGTGGAGAAAAGCCGGACTTGCCGGAGAAAACCACCAGCCAGCGGCCAGTACCTGGCGACTGTCCCACGTAGACCTCGAACCCGCGATCCACAAGTGGAGGACTAGTGATAATATTAGAAATGAATCTTATTACACCACGTAGAACTTCCTCCGATCCGAAATACATATTTGAAAGCAACTTTTGACAGAAAGTTATCGCTTGTCACAATCCATCTTTTTTTCTGAACATCTCCGATATACCTCCATATAAACTATCGTATTATGAGCAAATTTTTATAATCGATAATTATTGGTTCGTATTGATGTTTGTAACGTGTGAGTGTTGTATATGCTTGTAAAGCGTTTAAAGGAATCAGACGTCGAACAGTCTCTCACACACACAGATCTAACGAACGTCAATGACAATAGGTATCTAGGTGGTTTCTTCGCTGTGGGAAGTCTGTTTGTGCTCCTTGATACATTGTCCACACAATTCATACTTTCAGTATAGGCGGCAAATGGTGTAGCCCTCTCACTTACAAAATGTGATTTGTGTATTCGACTTGTTGGCATTACGAACACAAATACCGTTATTACATAAAACTCTCCGTTTGTACAACATCTGTTTGCATTTGTTTGGATATATTTTTTTTCGAGTGAAACACGTCCTGTTTCTCCAAACCGATATCTTCTCATGTCAACAATTTGAATTCAGGAAATTCTCGTTCCGTGTCAAAATAAGGAACGTATGTTGTATACAGTTTCTTGTCTATTCACAATTTTATCCTCTACTATTTTTGTGTTCATCATCTTCAATTTTCAATAATGTTATTCTCGACCAAGTACCACAATCTTAATAGTCCCAAGTTTACCCACAATGCATTCTAATATAATTGATACCCAAATAAAGCCATCGTCACAGTTAATACAAATCCATTTGTACAGGTCAATAACCTCAGTGTTCATGACGGAGGGAACTTTCCATGCGACGAGGAAGTATTTCAAAATTAGGCTCAAAAGCTATTCAGAGAATTTCCTTCTGAAATTGATTTGAACAGGAAACTTCGTTCTTTAAATCAATTTTAACTAAACACTTTTAAAGTTAAAACCCCTGTTCTATTTTCATCCAAAAAAAATATATATGAAAGAAATCGTTCCCTGCATCCGATATTAAATTGTTTTGAATGTGAAACCAGGCAGGCCGGATTGTTTTAGGATTTAAACTGAAATTAGTGTAAATCAACACTGATATCAATTAAACCCGGATCTAGGAGATACGAGCTGCCCTATCATACTGTAGAACTGTAAAGGTAAATACTACTGTATGCAGTGTTCAAGCTTTATCAAGCTTTGTCACCTCTTCAAACTTAGTACAATTGGACTTTGATAGGTATAAGGCAAGACAAAGGGATAATCTGTATTTGTATTGATCGTCTTAAAACATTCAACATTGTGTAATTAAAAACAGACTACTAAACCATTAATTTTATAGGAATATTGTTACTTTACTACAGCATACGCAGACTGTCTAGGGGGAACATTGTTACTGTATCTATAGCTGACACAGACTGTCTAGGGGGAACATTGTTACTGTATCTATAGCTGACACAGACTGTCCAGGGGGGCATCGTTACTGTATATATAGCTGACAGACTGTCTAGGGGAACATTGTTACTGTATCTATAGCTGACACAGACTGTCCAGGGGGAACATTGTTACTGTATCTATAGCTGACACAGACTGTCTAGGGGGCATCGTTACTGTATATATAGCTAACACAGACTGTCCAGGGGGACATTGTTACTGTATCTATAGCTGACACAGACTGTCCAGGGGAAACATTGTTACTGTATCTATAGCTGACACAGACTCTCTAGGGGGGACATTGTTACTGTATCTTTAGCTGACACAGACTGTCTAGGGGGGCATCGTTACTGTATATATAGCTAACACAGACTGTCCAGGGGGACATTGTTACTGTATCTATAGCTGACACAGACTGTCTAGGGGGGACATTGTTACTGTATCTTTAGCTGACACAGACTGTCTAGGGGGAACATTGTTACTGTATCTTTAGCTGACACAGACTGTCCAGGGGGACATTGTTACTGCATCTATAGCTGACACAGACTGTCTAGGGGGAACATTGTTACTGTATCTATAGCTGACACAGACTGTCTAGGGGGAACATTGTTACTGTATCTTTAGCTGACACAGACTGTCCAGGGGGACATTGTTACTGCATCTATAGCTGACACAGACTGTCTAGGGGGACATTGTTACTGTATCTATAGCTGACACAGACTGTCCAGGGGGGACATTGTTACTGTATCTTTAGCTGACACAGACTGTCTAGGGGGGCATCGTTACTGTATATATAGCTAACACAGACTGTCCAGGGGGACATTGTTACTGTATCTATAACTGACACAGACTGTCCAGGGGGACATTGTTACTGTATCTATAACTGACATTGTTACTGTATCTATAGCTGACACAGACTGTCCAGGGGGAACATTGTTACTGTATATATAGCTGACAGACTGTCTAGGGGGAACATTGTTACTGTATATATAGCTGACAGACTGTCTAGGGGGAACATTGTTACTGTATATATAGCTGACACAGACTGTCTAGGGGGAACATTGTTACTGTATCTATATCTGACACAGACTGTCTAGGGGGAGCATCATTACTGTACCTATAGCTGACACAGGCTGTCTAGGGGGAACATTGTTACTGCATCTATAACTGACACAGACTGTCTAGGGGGACATTGTTACTGTATCTATAGCTGACACAGACTGTCTAGGGGGAACATTATTACTGTATCTATTGCTGACAGACTGTCTAGGGGGAACATTGTTACTGTATCTATAACTGACACAGACTGTCTAGGGGGGAATTGTTACTGTATCTATAGCTGACACAGACTGTCCAGGGGAAACATTGTTACTGTATCTATAGCTGACACAGACTGTCTAGGGGGAACATTGTTACTGTATATATAGCTGACACAGACTGTCTAGGGGGGACATTGTTACTGTATCTATAGCTGACACAGACTGTCCAGGGGGAACATTGTTACTGTATCTATAACTGACACAGACTGTCTATGGGAACATTGTTACTGTATCTATAACTGACACAGACTGTCCAGGGGGAACATGGTTACTGTATCTATAGCTGACACTGGCTATCTAGGGGAACATTGTTACTGTATCTATAGCTGACACAGACTGTCCAGGGGGAACATTGTTACTGTATCTATAGCTGACACAGACTGTCTAGGGGGAACATTGTTACTGTATCTATAGCTGACACAGACTGTCTAGGGGGAACATTGCTACTGTATATATAGCTGACACAGACTGTCTAGGGGGACATTGTTACTGTCCTGTAGTTGGAATATGTTACGCAATACTTTAAGTTGCTACTGTGCCTTAAGATCGATTAGACTTTAAACAAATGACAAAATTTCAGTGTTTCAACTTTGTTCTCCCAGTCATTTCTGGACAACAAGTTTTTACTACTGTACTAAGTTGCACTTGTGTTTTGAAGCTAAGACACACGTCTAAAGAACCCGGATGTTTCTCTACTCCGCCGTCATGTAGCGATCTGTTTTGTAGATCTGATCTACTATATAGCAGAACCCGTGCTAAGCTTAGTAGTGTTTTTGCCGTCATATTCGCAGTAATATTGTTCGTGTATTAGATCCAGTGTAGAACACGAACTACATACCCTATGACGTATATGTGCAAGGTATAGAACAACACACAACAGTTCCACGCCATTAAATACCACTGTAATGTTTTGACCTATAAACGATAACACTGAAATGCGTGTTTAGACAATCGCTTCGTCACGTACAAGTAAATTCATCTTGAGAAGAATAGTACCATTTTGTGTACCCCTAGGTCCGTTACATCCACTGACCCATTTTATGGTGACGTAAGAACTTACCTGCGCGATCGTGTCCTGAGGTTTAAACGTGAAACGGGTGGAGCATCCAACCCAGGGACGGAAAAAGCTTCCACCCGTCGACCCGGGGGGTCGGGGGTGGAATATTCTGCATCACTTGTTTGATTGTTGGGGTTTAATCCAGGTTTTATAGAAGAATCCAACGACACAAATTGAAACTCTGATTTTGTATCGGCCATGGTTCCTGCGTTAAATTTCCAATTCCACAGAAAATCATATGAAGGTTATTCCGCCCATAAAGACCACTAAACACGGAAATCGTACATTTGTATATAGCATAATACAGAGAGTAGATAGTTTATTCCAAGTCGATACCAGCATATACAAACATGTTGTTTACAGTGTGTGTGTGTATCTACACTAAACACCGGTACTCCACCAGCCTAGATTTCTCGCATGTGTTAGTTTAAATATAACCTAGAGTATTCAATAGCAGCCAATCATTGGACCCGTTATATCTGACTGTCGGTAGAGAACAAAGAGAACAAGCTGCTATCTGCAACAACGATTTTCATTGGTGCACATTCACCCTTAGCACGTGGCAATACACAGAAATAGCGATCGTAAGCTCAACAGCTAAACGGCCTTGACCTTTCCACGGCAAGCTTTATTGCGTAGCAAACCGTGTTCGCCCAGAATAGTTGAAATGTGGCCCGTTTTATTTAAAGGTTTCAGGCTGTTTGGTTTCTATGGCCTCAACGACACCGCAGCCCTGTTCACCAACATCATCAATAGCTGTGGAACTGTGATAGGGAAACGACTGGCGGGGCTTGGTGTTATTTATCTACATATAACACATTTGGCCTGTATATAAATCAATCAACGATCTCGAGGTGGTTTTCTAGTACACGCGGTGTAACGGACACATGTAGATATTAAGTGTGCTGGTCGACTTGTGTGTGTATGAGTACAGAGCGGTATACATGTGTAGCTTAATATCATGACGATCACGCCGTTTCAGTCACTCGTGGAACCTATCTTGGTCCTTCACTGTATTTGACATCCTACAACATCAAATCTCTATCGCTTGTTCTGAATTAACTTACACAGCTGCACAAAACAATAGGGAAATATTGCAGAGCATACCTACTAAAGGATGAAACTGCATCATTTTACAGCCAGAGGGTGATGATTAAAGTCGGCGAACACACAAAAATTATCAAGTGTTTAAATGCGTCTCTCTAACAAACGTTAAACAATGGCGATTATCTTCCTGATTAAGTTTCGAGTTTTCCTGCGTACTGTCCTTATAACACGAAGGTCCATTTAATCTTTTTGTAAAGAGTGTTGGAAACAACGACAGATGTACGATTTTTAGTATTATTGTGGTTAAGATCCGAAACCCATGTTGTTAATTGATGTACAAAAAAACAATACTAATTCTTGTACAAATAAGATGTGTTTATAAAACACTATTCCCCTGGTTACAACAACATCATTTAGTAGGCCATTACACTTTGTGAAACACTTATGTCTTTATTGTGGTAATGATTTGAAAGTTTTAGTTCAATATTTTTGGCTAATATTATTTTTTTTCAAATGTAGGTCAAAGGTCACGGTCAATGAAAAAAAATACGCCCCCGATCTTTTGATCATAAAAACAAATTTATATGAAAGAAAGTTGATGTGACAAGAATACGTTTTGGTATAAATTATAGATGATCGTAGACAGCTGTCTCATTAGATCACAGTTGCGTGGTAACACATCCACTAGATTTCAAAATACGAAACAAGACACTGTCACGGGAAACAGAAACACGTTATCATTTGAAAATGACAACAAAATGGTCGCCTCTAAAAATTGTTGCAAAAGGGGTCTGCATTTTTTATCCTATGTTGAAACTTATAATCAGACATATCGGGGGATTGCTAACTTCTATAAGATCCCAGAGTCTGTGCAATCTCTATATGGCGGGATATGAGGTCCGCACGTAAAGCTATTGCATTTATGATTAGCATAATTGTCAAAAAAAGAGGACCCAAAGCTTAGATAATATCATGTATACCCTTTAATTACTGAAAACCATGTGAGCATAATTTAGAAATCGCGAACAGACTAAAGACTCCAGTCTGAGACAACTGACGGTGTACGAGGCTTTGATAAAAAGGAATAATAGGTGTATCTTATGACAAGCACGAGAATTTAAAACTGACAAAAAATAAAACAAATGAAAGGACGAAATGTCACGATATTGACTGACAGCTGTTGTTCTGTCTAACGAATCTATAGGTATACCTTAGTCATAGCGGGAACTCAGAATTCAGAGGTTGTAATTGGCCTGCAATTAGTTTATTGTGAAGCAGCACACGTTAACCCCCCACCCACCCCCCCCCCCTCTCTCTCTCTCTCTCTCTCTCTCTCTCTCTCTCTCTCTCTCTCTCTCTCTCTCTCTCTCTCTCCTCTCTCTCTCTCTCTCTCTCTCTCTCTCTCTCTCTCTCTCTCTCTCTCTCTCTCTCTCTCTCTCTCTCTCTCTCTCTCTCTCCACATAAGATACCATTTGATATAAATTGCATTATTACATTTTGTTCGAAACTGAATACATACCGACTTTCTTCTACTGTCCGAGAAGTCTATTTGTATTAGATGAAAACAGGTACCTGCCATGATCACCTATTTCTAGAGATTATTTCAAACATGTCTATATAGACCAATCTGAATTATATAACCTTGACATTCATGCTAAGGGGCCCTAGATCATACATTATATCGACAGGATGCAATTTACAACCATTGATAAAAAGTTATATAAAGGAATGAAAGACAGAACCTGTTGTAATCATACATCTTCAAATAGATAAACTTTTGGCATAGACAATAACAGAAATTCATTCATAAATACCATGAAATAAAGACACGGTTACCTTGTACTCACAAGAAACCGGAACGGTGTACCAAACCTCAGTATACCGTACCTCATATGGCACGACTGCATTTATAGAAACGATTAGGAATGGGCGCAAGCGAAGCACTCTTTTAGGGAGCTTTGTTCATCACACTTGGTTTCTTCTTGAAGACGTGTTTAATACGCTCTTGTATTCTGTATATATGCAACAGGACAAATCTTAATCGTGGTGTTTCAAATCTATTCATTTCAAATGCACTCATTTCAGAATACCAATGAAATCAGACAGTGAACTAATGTCAGGCATTGCATTTTGTAAATTTTGGTAATGAATTTCGGTCTTCACCTCCGTTTAACTGATTTTATTTCATTATTTTTAGATGGTATCATTAATTATCACGGGATAGGAAACGTATATAGAACGAATGTGAAAGAGATCCGCAACACCAGAGCCTAATAGCTTCTAAATCTCACTATATTTCAGCTTGGTCGCGAATATATTGGTACGTAGTTGGTTATTTTTAACATGAATACCTCCTAACAGTTTGATTTTATTCGTTGCGTTGAATTTTAAGTGAAACAGCACCATGTATGCAAATGAACCTAAAACCACATAGACGACGTCATGACACCAATATAAGAAATTTACCAAAGGGAGGACGGAGGTAGCTTCTTTGCTTTTAAAAAAGGGGGCTTTAAAACGTCACTATGTCCAAATTTGACAAAATATTTAAATGAGTTATTTGAATATGCAAATTGGATTTTCCCGATATTTTCGATTTACGCTTGATCAGAATCTACTTATTATGTAAGTAAGCAACACGGACTAGATGAATTCGATTTTAATTTGCTGGTGTTTGGAATATCGAGAAAAGCGGGCTTACCTATTTGCTTTCCACTTTTTTAAAGGTTTTATCATCGCAACGCCGTAAAATGTTACAATGGTCATGCTTCATTGAATGATATATGACTAACCTGTAATCATTGTTTGATTCCAAGATGAGCTTTTGTAACGATAACACATAATTCATAGAAAATATAAAATGCATAATGCAGGTGTCATCTTACAGTGTAAAACAGGTTATTTGTCGTACGACATTTAACGTACACTTACAGAAAAAAAACTAGCGAATGGATACTTTGTTTCCTCAATAAAAGAGCAGACTTGTGTAATGTATATTGTTTTGGTGATTTTTAATGTAAAAGTAGGGGTGCAGAGCTTGTTGATATGGAGATATTTGAATTTTTGGCATTTTAGCAAAATCAGTCATTAATGTACTGACCACATCATTGTCATCTTTGTTTTTCTTGACACATGTTTTGCATTCCACACAAACATAAACACAAAATATGTTCATTAGATGGAGTAAACTACATACTTAATAAGATCCCTAAATTTTCACTTTATCATGTGTAATGTAACGATAGCACAGTGGTAAGCTCTCCTCTCTCGACTCCTCCAAAGGTGCTTGGATCGAAACCTAAATTGACATCTTTTTTTTTTCAACTGAAAAGGGAAATCACATGACATTGAAACTTTCAAGACAATTTTTATATTTTGTTTCGTTAGAGATCATAAAAAATAATGAAACAATTAAATCGTTGATTGTTTGAGATGTGAAATTTAATCTAAACATAAATCTTTTAATTCTAACATGGTTACCAATCACTAGAACTTCAGGTTATCTCTTAAGCGTGCGAAATTCTTTTTCTCATCAACAACAAAATAGTGGTATGACATATATATTTCTATAAGGAACTCTCATTTTCTCAATACATTTAAATCAATTATCAGTAAGGCAGAAATAATACATGACAAATGCTTTTAGGTTTGGGATTTACGTAATTTAAACATAATTCATTTTCGTTTGAGAAATCCTGCCAGATCTCTTGATTAAGCATTTTTAGAGCAAAAGGTAATACAGCTGAATGCAGATGCAGCAACCCATGTGAAGTCTTTTATTACTATTTTGGTGTCTGTCCTCTATACATTCATAATCGAAATCTATTAATAAGACAGTTACAGCCTCTCTTTGAGAATTTAATTAGATTTACTCATATATGACGATCAGAAATTAAGCAAAGATGATTATATCTCTTCATTGAGAAAAAAAAAGTAAAATAGGGATTTAATTGAATGTCCCCCCCCTCTCTCTCTCTCTCTCTCTCTCTCTCTCTCTCTCTCTCTCTCTCTCTCTCTCTCTCTCTCTCTCTCTCTCTCTCTCTCTCCTACCCACACCCTTTCCCACGTCAAAATAACGTTGTATATTCACGGAGCGAAAATCCCAGCACACAAAGGATTCTCTTGTTTACACGGGATGATCAAGATGCATAGTAGATTTTCTCTTTTCTGTACAATCAGATATTTTCATGGGGTCAAACATTTGTGGTTTAAAAATCGTGGACCTTTTGATTTCAAGTATAAAAAAAGCTCAACATACAGAGCAGTTCGTGGACATATGGAACTTCTCCTTCAGTCAGTATAATTTGTCTTTGTACCCTCAGTTTTGTTTCGTTCTTGGTGC